CTCACTATCTCGCTTCCCATTGGCAGAAAACATTCAGCCAATCCCTGACAATGAATTCCATTATCTCCGTAAAAACATATACAAATAATACATTCATTAAGTCAAGTTAACTCAAGGTCGCAACGAAGACAAAGAAAAAGACTACATTTCCATTTCAGCGTACAAAATATATGATAAATAAAGGGTTTTCACGTGACGTCATAGCGGCCATTTTGGGGTGCAATACATTTTCTATCCTCCGGGAATTGAATTTTATTTTTAAGCAAATACTGTGCAAAGTACTGTGCTATTGTTTATGGCTGCCTTCTCACGTGAGTGAAAACGCTCTATTAATTTATTAAATTGGGTTTTCGTCAGGAATTAGGAGTATAATTGGTTAGAATTAATCACATGATTTCGCTGTGTCTGACAACATCCAACCGCATGAGGCAGTGCGTTATTGTTATTACTGCCAACTATTATCGCTGAAAGATTTCAAGCCGTTAGATGACAAAATTGTTTATAAATCAATATAATCAAGTACAGAAACTGAACAACTAATAGCCCACTTCCGAGATATGCTTCACTTGTCACGCACAAAGGTTTTAGTACGAGGTTTCGTGCGTAATGCTCATTGATTCGTTACAGAAGAAAAAATAAATTTAATTGAATCGGAAGTGGGCTGTTGGAGTGTGTCATTTTTCGAAGGTTGAACTTGGCTTTGCCTCGAATATTAAAAAATTCTTCAGCGCACCCGATTTTTCGTAAATAAAACGCATAACCGCTTCAACTTAAAGTGCTACTCTGACGAAAGTCGCTCAAACTAGGATTCAGCTGAAACTTCCTAAGAATACTCTTTAAAGGTCCAATAATCACTGTATGAAGTGTTTTCTCGATATTCAGGACGAAAGTATGACATTTTTACGATTATTTTTAGGAGTCTGTGACGTCATACACTCAACATCGAACATCGCTCCATACATTTCTTTGTAGTTTATGATCAAAATATCAGTAGTAAAGGGAGAAAGAAATACCCAAACACCCCAAAATATAAATTATAGTCACAATTAATGTGAAATAAGCACATTAGCCGGGCTTCATAGGAATGAAATAAATTAAGGATTTATATACAAAGAAATGTATGGAGCGATGTTCGATGTTGAGTGACTCCAAACAGACTTCAAAAAATCATCGTAAAAATATCATACTTTCGTCCTGAATATCGAGAAAACACTTCATACAGTGATTATCGGACCTTTAAAGAGTATTTCTTAGGAAGTTTCAGCTGAATCCAAGTTTGAGCACTTTAACCCATAATCAACTTTTATGTATTAGGAAAATGCTGGCCAATACAATTCCTAGTAATGGTTTCCTGCTTACATATGAAGAACGTATGGTATCCTGTCTCCTTCGGGACAAAGTACGTCCTTAGACGTGTTCCAAAGTTATCTCCCCAGTTGGTTGGTTGAGCAAAGTTGGTGCTGTATCCTCGCCAGGTCGGTAGGTAAGGAAATCTACTGTCGTCAAGCATTTTACTGATCTCATATGAGTCGATACCCTCCCATTTTTCAATGTACACCCCTCGGTGGTGCGTCACACCTGTTATCATAGAATATAATTTTAAAGTATCATATTTCTTAAACATATTGAGCTTTGAACAAGGAATGCCTACCGTGGGCCTATGATAATAAAATAGAACGAAAAGTGTTTATATCGACTACACAAACAGACAAAAAATAAACTTGCCACCGATAGGAGTTTCTGATAAAGCCTTATACCCTATTCACACCAAGGCTTAAACATGTTTTAAAGTGGTTTAAACTAAACAGGTTTGGAAAACTATCTACAAACACTGCACAATATTTGGTAGAATAATTCATATAAACTATCCTTTGTCTTGCTCTGACAATATTTTAGAAAGTTTTATTATATTCTGGGTTTCTAGTTTCTCAATTTTTTTCCCTAATGAAAACATAGTTTAACTAAACACGTTTAGGTGTGAATGGGGTATGAGAATCTTAAATCTTTAATGCAAAGCTAACACGGAAATTCGATAAAAATGCCACAAATCCAAATGAACGAAAGTCTGATTTCTTTCGTGTTTTTATTTTTTTATTTTTTGTTCGCATTCACTGAAATAATTCTAATAGGGGTCCATTTAAAAAAATTAATAATGGCAATGATTTTGGCCCACAAGCAGGGATTCATTGAAAGAGTTCTATATCATCAAATAGTGTATTTTTTAATCCTTTCTTTGTATTTCCTTGCTGTTATTTTAACTCAAACAAATTGTGCATAGATATGACTCTTACCTGGGGCAAAAGGTTTTTTATTTGCCAAGGAGATCCAAAATAGATGTCCAAAAACCACCAAAAGAAAATTCTTCATATCTGGATGTCTAAATCTTCAAACATGACGCCTATAAATCTTCTTAAAATGATTTTTTTGTTTCCGGAAAAATTGATAAAAGGCCGAGCTGGTAAACTACAATACAGCCACCAATGGATGACTGAGGAGTGACCACATACTGATGTCAATATAACAGTTATACCACCATGACAATGCATTGTTTGAGAATAGCCCAGATTTGATATATTCTAAGTGGTTTCCGATCACTCAACCAAATACAAAGCTAAATTATATGTTTTGGTTCAAGACTTATTTTTAGTTCACAAACCAAATAAAAAAAAAGAAAAAAAAAAAAAAAAAAAAAA